AATGTTTGCTGCGTTTCCAGGTCTCTTGGGGGTCTTCTTTGGGTCGTCTTCGGGCGGCTGGTGAGTGTCTGGGACCCACACTCTCATATGTCGCCCAGTTCTGTGACGTGCCGTCCTCGGTACGGACGCAGGAGCTCACGGCGCTGGCGCAGACCTTCCGCGTGGCGCTGGGCACCTTCCCACTATCATGCTGGTTGTTGCTTCACTCCTGGGGCGGACCTCTTGTGACCAGATGGGCCTTCCTGGGCTGCGCTAGCTTGGCGCGCGCGGCTCTGGTGCCCCATCGGCCTCTCGCCAGGCAGCTCGGTCACCCCTCGGACCGCTTCAAGCCCGCTGGCCAGGCCCAGCAGGGGCGCCCAGAAGCCCTGGAAAGCTCGGGACACCTTATGTAGAGACATCCAGGGGGTACCCAAGGCCACGGACTTGGGAGGTCCCGTTTTCGGTGGGGGGGGCCGCCCCCCCCTGATGTTGCAAAAACATAGAAACATGAAGTTACCCCAGTGCGACCCTACCTAGAAGTTGGAGCCCCTAGGAAAGCAGCATTAGTTGCTATGCTATGCTATGCTATGATATACTATGATATGGTATGCCATGCTATGCTGCACTATGCTATGATATGATATGATAGTATATGATGTGTTAATGTATGCTGCGCTATGCTATGCTATGCTATGCTATGCTATGATATGCTATGATATGCTATGCTAGGTCATGCTGCGCTGTGTTATGATAAGTTGTGATACGCTATGCTATGCTAAGCTATGATATGCTATGATATGCTATGATATGCTATGCTGTGCTATGCTGCGCTGTGATATGCTGTGCTATGATGTGATTCGCTATGCTATGTTATGCTATGCTATGCTATGTTATGATATGATATGATATGCTGCGCTATGTTATGATATGCTGGGCTATGCTGTAATATGCTGGGTTGCGCTATGCTATGCTACGCTATGCTATGCTATGATGTGCTCTGCTATGCTAAAGCTCAGCGAAGTTACGATGGGCTAAGCTAAGCTGTAATATGCTGGGTTAAGCGCTATGCTATGCTACGCTATGCTATGCTATGATGTGCTCTGCTATGCTAAAGCTCAGCGAAGTTACGATGAAGGTAAGCTAAGCTAAGATAAACCTGAGTTAAGATGAAGCTAAGCTAAGCTAAGATGAAATAAGCTAAGCTAAGATGAGATAAGCAACGCTAAGCTAAGGGGACGTAACTGGGGGAACCGCGGGGCGGATCCTGGGGGAACCGCCCGGGGCGCTTTACACTGCCCGGCCCTTTAAGCCCAGAGAGTAAGAACCCTTCTAGGCAGAGCCTAGGTAGGGAAAATACGCACGTATAAGTATATATATATATATACTAGAACCACGCGCGCGCTTCGCGCGCGCTTAGGTTCTAGTTTGCTCCGAAAACGGTGTTCGCAAGCACGGGTCCGATTCCGTGGCGATTCCGGGGCCCTTTTGGAAGGCCTCTTGGAGCCTTCTTGGGGCGTCTTGACGGCCTCGTGGCCCTTCTGGAGGCCATGTTGGGCCGTATCGGAGCGCTCCGGGGGCCCTCTCGGGGCGACCGGGAAGTCTCTTGGGCCATCTTGGGCGGACTGGGAGGCCCGGGGGCCGCCCGAGGAGCGTCCCAGGAAGCCCTCCTAGGCCCTCTTAGCGCTGTCCTCAGGCGTCCTGGGGCGTCCTTGGGCGCCTCCTGGGGCTGTCTGACAACTCGGACAGCCAAGGGATGAGATATCCTAAAAATGTACGTTTTACGAAAGGAATGGGGCCATTTTGGTGTCCCGGGGCGCTCTTGGGGGGCCTCTTGGAGGCCTCTTGGGGCGGTTTGATGGCCTCTTGTCCCTTCTGGAAGCGATCTTTGGCGGTCTTGAAGCGATCCTGGGCTTCTCTCGGCGCTCTTGGAGCCTTCTTTGGCGGACTGGGAGGCCCGGGGGCCGCCCGAGGAGCGTCCCGGGAGGCCTTCCTGGGCTGTCTTCGGGCTATCCTAGGGCGCCTCGTGGGGCTTTCGGACCGCTCCGACAGCCAAGGGAGCTGATATCCTAAAAATGTACGTTTTACGAAGGAATGGGGCCATTTTGGTCTCCCGGGGCGCTCTTGGGGGGCCTCTTGGAGGCCTCTTGGGGCGGTTTGATGGCCTCTTGTCCCTTCTGGAAGCGATCTTTTGCGGTCTTGAAGCGATCCTGGGGTTCTCTCGGCGCTCTTGGAGCCTTCTTGGGCGGACTGGGCAGCCCGGGGGCCGCCGGAGGAGCGTCCCGGGAGGCCCTCCTGGGCCGTCTTGGGGCTGTCCTCAGTCGTCCTGGAGCGTCCTTGGGCGCCTCGTGGGGCTTTCTGGCCGCTCCGACAGCTAAGGGAGCTGATATCGTAAAAATTTACGTTTTACGAAGGGAATGGGGCTATTTTGGTCTCCCGGGGCGCTCGTGGGGGGCCTCTTGAAGGCCTCTTGGGGCGGTTTGAGCGCCTCTTGACCCTTCTGGAAGCGATCTTTGGCGGTCTTGAAGCGATCCTGGGGTTCTCTCGGAGCCCTCTTGGGCGGGCTGGAACGCGCGGGGGCCGCCGGAAGGGCGCCCCGGGAGAGGGCCGCACCCTATATACAAGGGAGGTTCCGGCCCGGGGCCCGGGGCCCGGGATCTCCCATATATGTATATATATACACACAGCCACCGTGCTACCACCAGGGACGCTGGGTATGGAACGAGGAGGCTTTTCTGGCGGCGAGCGAGCCTCGGCCACGAAGAGCTCCCCCGAACCGGCTCTCGGGAGCGGCCCGAAAACCGGAGAGCGCCTCCCGAGCCGCACGCCGTCTCGGTGCCACTCGGCGGTACGTGAAAACGACCACGGCCACCGCTTTTCTTTTGTTGCCGCCTTCCAGCCAGCAGAAACAAAGCAGTGGCTGCGGCCATTGCCGTTAAGCTTGGCACCACGGAAATCCTTCGTTTTTTTGCAATCCTTCGTTTTTTTGCAATCCTTCGTTTTTTGCAATCCTGGGTTTTTTTTGCAATCCTGGGTTTTTTTTTGTCCTTCGGTTTTTTTTGCAATCCTTCGGTTTTTGTTGCAATCCTCGTTTTTTTTGCAATCCTGGGTTTTTTTGTTTTTGTTGCAATCCTTCGTTTTTTTTGCAATCCCTTTTTTCCGGCCGGCTGGAAGGCGGCGCAAACAAGAAGCAGTGGCTGTGGCCATGTTCCCGTCCCGCACACTCGACGGTACACACGCGCACCAGACACGGCGAGGAGGCAGAGCACGGGCGACGAGCACCGCAGAGGCCTCCGAGGGCCAGAGAAGAAGCACCCTTCGCTCTGCAGGCCTCGGAGGGAGCTGGCGACCACTCGTGCCACACTCGTGCGGCAGCGCCCCCTCCCCGATGGTCAATGCTGGCAGTCGGCTGGGATGCGTTGCGCTTCGACCGCGGCCTTCCCCGCGCGTGCCAACCTCGAATTCTGGGGGGCGGGGGAGTGTCCACTAGTTAACAGGCGAAGAACGGTACAAAATAGACTTTTTCGCTGTCGGGGGCGCCTGTCTCTGGGCGGCTGGAAAGCTTATACCCCTACTGTGGCACCGTAGGGGTGTAAACTTTCCAGCCGCCCAGGGACAGGCGCCCCCGACAGCGAAAAAGTCTATTTTGTACCGTTCTTCGCTCGCTGAACTAGCCGTGCCCCTCTGCCGTGTGAGCCACTCCGCGATGCTCCCCCCGCACCTGCCACGGGAGGATCGGGAGCAGGCACCCCTTTTTGGCTCCTCGACCTCTCGGCGGTGCTCGCCTCCCTTTGGGCTGCGGGCTCCTGCCGCGACGGCGAAGACGGCAAGCTGGCCGGCCTGCCGCCGCCCGCTCTTTCGGCAGCGCGGCGACCGCCCAAAGTATAGGAGGCCACGAGCGAACCCTACCCCAGATTTCGTAATAAGGGGAGGGGGGTCTCATTTCGGGGGGGGTCTCTTCCAGGCTATCTTGGAGGGCCTGGGGGGGTCTGGGGACGATGTTTTGGAGGGTTCTCCCACGGGGGAGGTCTGAAATGGCTTGTCTTGGAGGGTCCAGACCCCGTCCCTTTTATTACGAAATCTGG